GTATATAATATAAGACTATTATAGTAATAAAGATAGATCTGGTGTCTGTTCTGTTTTTATGAAAGTAGTTGGTTATAGATAGACGACTAGCTATATACTTGGTAGCTATTTATATATTTACATGATAAGTTTTTTTTTTAATTTTATCTTGTAGTAACATATATATCTGTTTATAGTCACCTATATATAGTCGACTATGTTATTACATGTTATTGAATGTGTATGGTTTATGCCGTTAAAGGGCGTGAAAAAATGGACGAATTGGCTGCAATTCTTCTTGCTGGGGAGGAACCCAATTTTGGTGGACGAAGCGATGAAGAATATTATGCAGAATTGACGAAGAACTGCATAACTTTTCAGTTGATGAAACTGTGAACGGAAACAATGCGGCGGTCAGGATTGATCGGAAAGGAAAGGCCGTACAGGAATCCTACAAAGCAGGATTCGATGGGGAAGGCCCAAAGCAAAGGGAAAAAGGTGAGAGCAGCTGTGGTGCAAGTAGGTTCAGTTGCGCCCAGGAGACGATTAATGATGTATTCTCCGACACAAAAGAAATGCCGGCAATGTTTGGAAGAAATGCTCCTCTGATAGTGGACGAAATCGAAGATGATGGCAAGTAGTCGACTTTAAATAGTCACTTACATACTCTTGCAAAAATGTAGTTGAATACAACCTAACTTGTTTTGCATACTTAGAAGGGATAGAAAGTGCTCTATAGAATGTTCGATACGAGGGTGATGGTGCTTTTGTCAGTTGGATATTCCGAAACAAGGTTGAGTGCAAAATCAAAATGGTTATATACGCTGTCAACAAAAAATTTCACTTTAGGATGCCACGCTCAACACACATTTCATGGAATTCATATGTGTGAACCCAGATTGCCGATGGCGCATATGCAGTTCACTGATGGACGGGACCGGCAACTTTCAGATTAAGAAGGCACAATTAAAGCACACCTGCCCCATTGACGACCGGGATAGTTTCACAAACAAGCAGCCACGCAGGTCATAGGGGAACTGATACAATCCCGGTTTCTCGCAGGCCGAAAGGGTCCTGGTACTAACAAAATCCAGCAAATCGTGTTTCAGGAGTTCCAGGTAAACATCTCGTACTGGAAGACATGGCAATGCTAGGAAGTTGTGGTCGGGAAAGCCTTTGGATCTGTGTTGGGAAGTTTTTCATTACTACCATCTTATCTTGAGAATTTGCAAACCTCAAACCCCGAAACAGTCTGCAAAATGGAGTTTCGACTGGACAAGAATGGATGTAAGTGGTTTAAGTATTTGTTTATCTCATTTGCCGCCTCAATTGCAGGTCTAAGATATGTAAGGCCTGTTGTCTTGATTTATGGCACCCATCTTGTTGGGTGCTATGGTGGCTGCCTAATTTGTGCAAATGGGCAAAATGAGAACTTTCAAATCTTCCCAATTGCTTATGCCGTCGTCGACAGCGAGAATAATGCATCCTACGAATGGTTCTTCAGATGTCTGCAGACTGTCATAAGCGATGATAGAGTAGTGATGTTCATCTCCGATAGACACTCATCGATCTACTCAAGTCTTAAAAAGGTAAGTAACTATTGAAATACTTATTAACATAAATAGCAGAATTATATGTAGGTGACTATTGTTTAAAAACCAAAACTCTGTGTAGTTGATGGGCTTCAGGGTCGCAGGTCTTTTGCAAGCTCGTTGGTCTGGAGTTTTAAATTTATAAAACCTTAATGTCTGAAAGTGCACAAATGTACGTTGTAGGACTTAGGGTGTCGATCCACATGGAAGATAACACCAAACTGGGATAGTAAGCCAAATCATAAACTCATAGGGGTTTTGGGGTTTATGGTTACGCGAACTAAAACTAATCATAACCTAATATTTATGGGAGACTAAATGCAATGCAAATGAGTTACTAGATAATATCCAAAGGGTGTTCGACTCAAACTAAGGACTCTAAACTCATAGGAGAAGATTTATACTTCTCTGGTTTACTCTAATCGATGGGCTAAGCATCTTTCGATTAGCTTCCGGGCGATTTATCCTTATCTATTTCTGGGATCTGCATGGAACTGGAATAGACATATGTATGGCTTATTAACTCTCGTCATCTTAACCAACTAATCACTTAAATCTGACAATTAACTCTCGCTCTCATGCCAAGAATAAGATCTTGCATTTAATACTGAATTTGTGTGCTCACATCTTCTCTATAGGTAGCTTTCGACTCCTGTACCAACTATGTTCTTCTGAAATTATGTACAGATGATCTGATACAGCACTCTCGTGGCTATGATTGATCCTAGCCTCAGAGATTAGGTCTTGAATCTAACCTCATGCAGTATAAACAACTTAAAAGAGATGAGACCTAGAATATGGCTTAGAACTCTAGAAATCCTAATCGAACATGTATTCCCTTTGATACTCTTTAGAGACTTGATTCTCTGGGACTGATCTAATATGATGCAGGAAATGATAAAAGATATGAAAGATGCAGAAAAATGGAATGAAAAAACTAAATAGATAAAAGAGGAGAAAGAACAATGGTTCAGGGGAAGAATCCACATCTCCATAGCCTAACCCTAAGAAAACAAAGTTTGGTGGCTCAAAAACTCATTACAGGAGCACACACCCGATTAAGACTGCTAAGAAATGTATTTATATGTCCTAAGACCTTCTGGGTCTCATTTAGGGCTTCTCTGCAGAGAAATTATGAAAGGCTTTGATGTTGGGCCTTGTGGCTTGGCATAAGTCCACCGCGCATGAGCGTCTTCTGGGGCAGGTGAAATGCTTGTTTGCCGCAGGTGAGAGTCTTTCGGGACTGGAGAATTCGGTCAACTTGCTTTTCACATAACTTTTAATTGCATCGTTGGATTGTCCTGATGTAAAATGTTAAGGAAAGTTGGTTGTCTCCTATTGAATGTCTCCAAATTTGAGATGGATCAGACGGTGAGAAACTCTTCCATTTGAGGCTAGACTTCTGACGGTCTGACTCTGAGCTAAAAATGTGGATTTCTTCCATTTTGCCATCTTTTTCTCTAAGTGTCCTGAAAAGAGCCTTGAAACTACAAACATAGAGAAATCATAATAAAAGTTCCTAAAACTGATTAAAACCTTTGAAAAAGCATTTGAAATCAATGGTGAAAATGAGTACAAATACGGTGTTATCAGTAGTTGAAGTTACATATATGTAGATGACTTTTTCCTAATTTTCGTGATTACTCCTTAATGTAGTAGCGATTGACTACTACTTGTTTCGTTGTAGGTATACCCCTCTGCTGGAAATGATACTTGTTTAGTCCACCTAGTAAGGAACGTGACAACCAGATCAAAGAGAGTCGCTTGCCATCACTAATGGTCTGTGCGGCTAAGGCATGTACAATGTATGAGTTCAACCAACTGTTTGCAGAGCTGCAAAGTGTTAACCCTAAATGTGCTGACTGCTTAACAGATTTGTGTCTACCACACTAGACCAAGGCCTTCTGTGTCGGTCAGCGCTACAACATCATGACAACCAATGTCGCTGAGTCGCTGAACAAAGTGCTGAAAGAATGTAGGGAATTTCCTTTAATTTCGATGCTTGAGGCTATTAGGATGAGCCTAATGGGATGGTTTATACGAAGGTGAGCTGCATACGAATCTGAGTTACATCCCCTCACAGATAAAGTGCAAGACATCATGAACAAGATATTATATGAATGCACAAATTTGAAGGTAGACCTCTGATAGTGAATATAACTATTGGTTATTTAATAGTTGACTACTCTTACTCATATTCAACTATAAATGGGGCGATATAAAAAGTAAATGTTTACTTGTAATTGACTACTTCACATGTAGGTGGTTGTTGTAAATCAGCATGAGTTTGAAGTTTACGACCGAAAGTGGGGCAAGTTTGAAGTGAATCTGCAGCTGCAGGGAGTTCCAGATGCTAGTTATTCCATGTTGCCACGCAATGGCTGCTAGCTCATTCACCAACATTACAAATGAACACCTTGTGGGAGATGTATACACCACCGATTTCATGAGATCACTTTATGAGGGGGTTTTTCATCCCGTTCCACCTGTTAGTAATGGTGAGGCGGAACTTCTTCCCCCCATTATGCGCCGCCAACCTGGACGTCCAAGAAAAACCCAAATCCTTTCACGCGGAGAATTCAAGGTTCGACTTTTTATACCTTAATATATGGTTAAGGTAGTTGCCTATTGTAGATACTGATTGCAGAAATTATAATGTCTCAGAAACAATCTACAAAGGCGGTCAGGCTTTGCACTAGGTGCCTTGGTCGGGGACACAACAAAGCTTCCTGCAAACTTCCGGTTCGAGAGAAATAAGCAGTTATGGACAACGTGTTATAATCAGCTACCACGAGAGAGTACCTGTTTATTCATGTTGGAGGTAAAAACCGCATCCCTGGTTTTCTCCGGTACAAACCGAGATCGGCACGACGTAAGCCCAGTTTACGAAGGAAATGTACCGGGAGTGTTGGGCCGAGTGAGTTCTTGGGCCGAACGCAGCCCATCAAGCCGAAGTCGGTCAGAAACTTCTCAAAGGAACCGAGAAGTTCTCTGAGTTTGGAGGATAAAGGAAAGTTTCCGAATAGAAAAAGGAAACCGACGAGAAGAAAGGAAATTGTCATGAGAAAAGGAAAAGGACCGAGAGAAAAGGAAAGTCTTCTCGGTCCCATATCGCAGAAGGTGTGCACAAATGACCGACTTGGAAGACATATATAAAGGAAGAAGAATCGACACCGGAAGACACAAGAAATTCCAGAAAAGACTTAGATACTGAGAACTCAATATTGTCTTAGTTTCATAAAGTCTTAGTTTGTTATTAACCGAACTCAGTTGTATTCTTCGATCGATCTAATAAAACCCGAGTTTACCGATCTAAATTACTGTTTTGCCCCTTGTCGATATTCACTTATCAACAATTGGCGCGCCAGGTAGGAGGGCTCAAACAGAATTTTCAGTTTTAGATCGGACTTCGGATAGATCGAATCAGCAATGACAGACCAAGCCAACATTCATGAGAAAGGAAACCCACTCGGCGAAGAAAACGACAACGTTCGAAACCCTGCGGAGCAAACAGGAGGAATCCCTGGAGAAAACGCTGGGGCTGAAGCCGGCCAAACTCTCGCAGCCGTAGGAGGTTTCGGAACTGAACTACTGCTCCAAGTGTTCAACGCTCAGTTCGAGGCCATTAACAAAAGGAGCGAAGAATGCTTCAGTCAGATGGCAGCACAAATCGCCGAGCTCAGTCAAGCACGAACTCCACTTCGAGTTCGGAACATCATCGACGACCTCAATACTGATGGTGATCCAGCCGGAACTATGAGGTCCACTGCTGTCAGATCAGCGAACGCACCAGCACCGGATCTAAGTCGCGACGCCGAATTCGAGGCGATGAAGGCACAACTTCGCGAGATCACTTCAAAAATTCATCAAGCAACAAGCGTGGTTCCAGAGATCGAGCGCGTCATTCAGGAAACACAAAAGACACCCTTTACGCCGCGCATAGCAGGAACGCCGGTCAAACATATGGAGAAACTCAAGATGAAGATCTATGAAGGCAATACTGATCCCTGGCACTTTTTGACATCATTTGGCATCTGCATGAATCGATATCAGTTCAAATCCGCCGAGGAGAGTCTAGGAGGAGTAGCTCTCGACTGGTTCTCACGACTCGAGGCGAACTCGATAGATAACTATAAAGAGTTGACAACGGCCTTCGTTAAACATTTCTCAATGTTCATCAGACAGAACACCAAGAACTCCGAGCTCTGGCAAATAGCCCAAGGAGCAAGCGAGAGCCTTCGTGATTTCATCCAGCGCTTTAAGACGATTGTCGCCAATTGTACGATCAGTGATGAAGCCGCCCTCTTATGTCTTCAGAAAGGAGCTCAGATAAAGACTAGCTTCCGGAGCGCGATTACACACAACCCCCCACAGACGTTGGAGGATGCATTACACCGAGCTAATACTTACATCACCGAAGAAGAAGAAGAGGACGCTTATGAGCAAAACTATTCGGCAAAGCAGCCCGAACGTTCAAAAGCCACCACTAACGAACCACAGTCAGGCTATAGCAGAGGGTACGAGAATCGCAAGAAGTTCTACGCTAATGCAATCCAGCAACCAACCAGGTAGTGGAATAATAAGTGGGTCCGTAGTGAAGAAGATCAAGACGAGTCCTTGTTCTGCGAATTCCACAACCGCAAAGGACATAGCACCGAAGAATGCAGGCGTCTGCGAGAATACTTGCTCGCGCAATACCGAAAAGGGCAAATCTCGCTTGACGATCTCCGTCGCCCAAACATTCCAAGAAGCAAGTCGCCTCGACCGAATAACATACAACCCGAGAACACCGTCGCCAAAGATCCACCAACTCCACCAGCTTTACCATTAACGCCGCGTCCACCGAATCCACCTGCTTTACCCGAACAACCGAAGCGCTATCATGACGACCGTGCCCAAGAAAATCATGCCCCCAAAGCAAGGAAACGTGTCAACATGATAATGGGAGCCATAGAAGCTTGCAGCTATTCGGTTCGGGCTATCAAGGAATACAGTAGACAGGCCGCCACCGCGCCCAAACTCCTGCATGATCCACCGAAGGGAACGCCTTTGATATTCACCGAAGCCGACACAATCGGATTGCATAAACCGCATAACGATGCCCTCGTCGTCAAACTACTTCTCGACGATGTTGAAGTTAGTCGCATTCTGATCGATACATGCAGTTCGGTCAACATTATCTTCAAGGACGCACTTGACCAGCTCGACATACCATCAGACAAGATTGAACCCTTTATCGAGCCACTCACAGGGTTCGACGGCGAACGTTGCATGACGGTCGGCACGGTCAAAATCCTGATCTACCTCGCCGGAGTCGCGAAAATCATCCAGTTCGTCATTCTTGACAAATCAGCGATCTACAATGCCATTCTCGGTACGCCATGGCTACACGCGATGAAAGCAGTGGCCTCAACGTACCACCAGTGCCTGAAGTTCCCAACTCCTGACGGTGTTTACACTCTCCGAGGAAACCAAGCAGTCGCTCGATCGTATTACATAAACGAGTGCAAGCTTCGTTCGGCCAACCAAGCCTAGTTCGCAAGGTCCGACGACCAAACTCACCGAGCTCATCGTCCGGCAAACAAAATCCAAGCAAGAGTCAATTATTCAAGTCTGCATCGGCGAACTAAGACCGGAGCGCCAAGTCGGCATCGGTGCCGAACTCGACCCAAGTATCCGCGATACACTCGTTCGCTTCCTGAAACAACATTCGTCCACTTTTACATGGTCGATAGAGGATATGCCCGGGATCGATCCACAAACCGCGTGTCATGAGCTCAACATCGATCCGACGTACAAGCCGATCAAGCAAAAACGCCGAAAGCTCGGACCAGAGAAGGCACAAGCCGTCAACGATGAGGTCGAGCGGTTGCTCAAAGCAGGATCCATCACCGAGGTCAAGTATCCTGATTGGTTAGCAAACCCTGTAGTTGTCAAAAAGAAGAACGGCAAATGGAGGATTTGCGTTGATTTCACCGATCTTAATAAGGCGTGCCCGAAAGACAGCTTCCCTTTGCCTCATATCGATCGCCTTGTGGAAGCGACTGCCGGAAACGAACTACTCTCGTTTATGGACACATTCTCCGGGTATAACCAGGTTCTTATGCATCCACAGGATCGGGAAAAGACATCGTTTATCACGGACCGCGGCATATACTGCTATAAGGTGATGCCCTTTGGTTTAAAGAATGCTGGAGCAACATACCAACGCCTGGTGAACCGAATGTTCGCAAGCCAGCTCGGGCGAACTATGGAAGTCTACATTGACGACATGCTCGTCAAGTCGCTCGTCGCTTCCGATCATGTCCGCCATCTTCGCACATGCTTCGATATTCTGGACCAATATGGCATGAAAGTCAATCCCACTAAGTGCATGTTCGGTGTAACGTCTGGCGAGTTCCTCGGATACATAGTCACGCAGCGCGGTATTGAAGCTAATCCGAAACAGATCGCAGCTATACTCGAGCTCCTGTCTCCGACGACCAAACGAGAAGTCCAGCGACTAACCGGACGGATTGCAGCACTTAATCGATTCATATCCAGATCGACAGAAAAGTGCTTGCCATTCTACCAACTTCTCCGCGGTAAGAAACATCTGGAATGGAACGAGAAGTGCGAAGAAGCTTTTTCTGAGCTTAAGAAGTACTTGTCTACACCGCCTGTTCTGTCCAAGCCCGAAACGGGCGAAACACTCTACCTGTATATCGCGATTTCGGAGTACGCGGTCAGCAGCGTCCTAGTTCCAGAAGACCGTGGCGAGCAGAAGCCAATTTTCTACACAAGTAAGTCTCTCGATGGATCGAAGTATCGCTATCCAACCTTGGAGAAATTCGCCTTCGCCATGGTTATCTCCGCACGGAAGTTACGTCCGTACTTTCAGTCTTATTCGATCGTTGTCCTGACCGACCATCCTCTTCGCACCTTCCCTCACAGCCCAAGTCAATCCGGCCGACTCGCCAAATGGGCCATTGAACTTAGCGAATATAATATCGAATACCGAGGAAGGACTGCGACGAAGTCTCAAGTCTTGGCAGATTTCTTGGTCGAACTCCTACCTGAGCTCGTCGAAGCTAAACCAGCCGTACAACCTTGGATCCTCCATGCCGATGGCTCCTCTTCCCATAAAGGATCCGGCGTTGGGATTCGTCTCAAATCTCCCGAAGGAGAGGTCATCAAACAATCGTTCCGCCTTGGCTTCCCGGCATCTAACAACGAAGCCGAATATGAAGCACTAATCGCCGGACTATGACTTGCCAAAGGAATCAGCGCTGAACTTGCCCACGCCTAATGCGACTCTCAACTCGTAGCTAACCAGTTTCACGGCGAATACGAAGCCAAGAATGATCCTATGGATAGGTACCTCAAAGTCCTTAAAGATATTGCTTCAGAATTCTCGACCTTCGAGCTTACAAAAATACCTCGTGATGAGAACGCAACCACTGATGCTTTAGCCGCCCTTGCGACTAACTCCGATCCCGATCTCCGGCGAACAATCCCAGTCGCGGCAATCCAAATTGCAACATCGTTACGAGACGACGTGATTACGAAGCCTGACCCAACCTAGCTCCACCCCTTACCCGAAAGACAAAGCCTAAGGAAGTTGTCACCGATCTCGATGCCAATATGGACGAACAAGATGACAACGAGTCCGATCACGAAGACGAATCCAAAGGCCAACACGTTCCAATTGATATCAAAGCCGAGGGTGAAGATGAGCCCAAAGATTGGATTTTAGATATTGTGGGCTACATTGGCGATGGAACGGTTCCCGCAGACAAATGGGCAGCTCGGCGCCTTAAGGCCCGCGGCTCGATACGTGGTTATTAAAGGTACTCTCCTCAGATGGGACGCGTCCGGTGTACTCTTAACTTGTGTTCACGGCAACGACATCATCAAAGTAATGCAGAAAGTACACGAAGGAGAAGGAGGAAATCACTCCGGAGCTCGGTCTTTGGCGTTCAAGATAAAAAAGCTGGTTATTACTGGCCTTGTATGCTTTCCGACTGTGAAAAGTATACAGCACGCTGCGAGAAGTGCCAACGTCATGGCCCGATGATCAACCTTCCTACCGAGCTCTTGATGACTTCGACCGCACCATATCCTTTCATGCGTTGGGCAATGGACATCATCGGTCCATTTCGCCGATCTACAACTCAGAAGCAATACGTTCTGGTTGTAACCGACTACTTCACCAAATGGGTCGAGGCCGAGGCATACCCCGAAATACACGGAATCGACGTCAAAAAGTTTGTCTGGAAGTTTATCATATGTCGACACGGAATCCCATATGAGATCGTCACAGATAATGGAACCCAGTTCACTTCAATAATTTTCACAGATTTTTGTGCCAAGTGGAAAATCCGACTAAGTTTCTCTACCCCGCGATACCCACAAGGAAATGGGCAAGCCGAAGCCACGAACAAAACCATTATCAATGGTCTGAAGAAGCGACTGGATACAGCTAAGGGAACTTGGGCGGACGAACTCGATGGCGTCTTATGGTCTCACCGAACTACACCACGACGTTCCACCGGTCAATCACCTTTCTTCCTCGCATATGGTACGGAAGCTATGTGTCCAGCCGAACTCAACGTTCCAAGTATTTGCCGAACCATGCTCACTCAGCAACCTGATGCGAATAACGACATGATGTTCGACACATTCGACTTAGTCGAAGAACATCGCGAACGAACATTACTCCGGATACAAAACTACCAACAACTGGCAGCTTGTTACTACAACAAGAAGGTTAAAGGCCGTCACTTCGAAGATGGCGATCTCGTACTTCGCAAAGTTTATCAAAACACAGAAGAGAAGAACGCAGGAAAACTCGGCGTGAACTGGGAAGGACCATACCAAGTAATGAAGGTTGTTAAACCCGGCGTTTATCAACTCATGAAGCTAGACGGAACCCCGACCCCGCGATCATGGAACTCAATGCATCTCAAACGATACTACTACTAGTTCGTTACGAGATAAAAAAAAAAGCCTCCGAAAAAAAAAAAGCCTCCGAACTACTTAGTCTGGAGCAAAAGACCTTTTTGTACTTAGAACTACGAATGGCTTGTTCCCTTTAAAGGGTACGTAAGCAGCTCCCAACTATAACATCAATAAATTTTTATTAAGTTAAAAACGTCTAAGTTTTAGTTCGGCAATCACGAGATACCGAACTCCTTGTTTTTACATCGACTTCCTGGCCAGTTGTTTGATAGCATTCCACATGAATGCAAACTTAAAAAGCCAAGATCCGTCTCGCGAACACCCACATGGTACCGTGGTAAAAACCACATATTAAAAGCCGGGGCCAGTCCCGCATTAAAATTTCTAAGTCACCAAGGACAATAAGCCGAGCTCATCTCGCATACTTAGCTTTGACTTAGAAAACCTTGAACTCGTTTCGTGCGTTTACAGGAGTTCAAATAAACTCACTCCTCCAGTACGACACGATTCACTTGGGTTCCCCAGGCCGAGATTAAATGCTCGCACAATAAGTCGAACTCCTCAGATTCGCATTATAAGCCAAGTTCTCAACACTTGAACATATAAGCCGAGTTAACGCAATTCGCTACCGAATAATTCAATTGAATTCAAGCTAAAAACCGATCTACTACTTGAAAGATTTTACGAAATACTCGAGATAGAACAAAAAGCATATAATTAAAGCCCTTCAAGAGGCAAAGGAGTTCGAAAAATAAAGAAACCCACCGAGGATTTAGAGATAAACAAAATATTACATAAGCATATAAAGTTACCCATTATAGGGCAAGCGAGTTCGAGTTAAAAAAAAAAAAAAAAAAACAAAAGGCTAAGCGGTCTTCGAAGTCGCAGCTTGATAGGCATTAAGTATATCTTCGTTTGAACCGAACTGCTCGCATATCGCTGGATGCTGAGCACTCTGAGTCACGTTCACGACCGGCACATCGTCCTCTTCCGGGAATGGGGACATCCGCTTATCTTCTTCTGTGAGGACGCAAGCGTCGATCGAGCGGAAGTCTTCCAAAGCCTTAGCGTGCTTTGCCTTGATATCAGCTACCATCTCGGGTGGGACTTCGTACAAACCCTTCTTCTTCAGCTGTTTGATGAAGCCGAGAACTCCAGTGAGCTGGTTGACCACCAAGTAAGGCTTACGAGCCCGATCTGCGCCATCCAGACTGCGGATAACTTTTTCCAAGCGTTCGCAAGCCTTCGCGTGAACGCTCCTAGCTCTACCTTTCCAATGGGCCACCAAACCTTGTAGCCGCTCCTTATCTTTCTCGAACTCCCGAGAAAGCAAGCCTTGCGCCTCGGTCAGCTCGGCTCTTACCGCTTTCAGCTCCGAGCTCTCCTGCTTCAGCAAGTCAACAACAGTGTGGAGAGAGTCGTTGATCTGGAGCTCGGTGGCGAGACATTCTTCCGCCTTACAGATCCTCTCTTCTAGCTCGGCGACTCTAACTTGCTCGTCGTACAACGCAACTTCATACGCTGCGACCAAGTTGTTGGTCTGACTGGCGAGCTGCACAAAAGAAAGTGTGAATTAAAACTCATACTTAGGAAAGTAGTAAAATAAAGAAATGGAATCAGGAAAGTACCACGGCAGTTGTACGAGCAATCCCCTTGTACAGGTTTGGAAACCGGAGCTCGGGGACCGCCGGGAGACTCGGGACCTCGGTGGAGATCTTGTGGTAAAGGTCGGCACAAGCGTCGACGTACTCCTCAAAAGGACCCTCCTCATCGTAATCGAAACACACCTTAGTCCTTTTGGCTGGCTCTGGTTCCGGAGAATCTTCGGCATGCTCCCTATCTTGCCTCTTCCGGGAGTTGGAGGCTTCAGGCTGATCCTGAGGAATCGCGAGGTCCGACATTGCAGCCGTCGGAGGATCGAGCTCGGCGGCGGTATCCTGCGCACGAGAAGAACCTTCAATCCTCTATATTTTCTTCGAGGATTTCTTCCTTTTCAGCTTCTTCTGACCAGCCGGTCAGGTGAGTTCGCAGCATGTGGCAGTTCTTCGGGCTGCTCGTTCGTCCCTTCAGTGGCAGGGATAGAAGCCGGATCTGCAACGTTCGGTTCCTCCTCATCGAACAGAGTGGGGATCTCGTCCAGTGAAAGCATCCTGACAGTTCGAGTTTGTTTAGCTTGCGGTTTCGGTGCTTTGCGTCTAGGAGCAGCTCGAGGCTTGTTTGCTCGACTCTTTGGCTTCGGGGGCTTCGGGGGCTTCGGTTCCTTAACAGAAGCTGTAAAACGTATAAGGAAGAGTTCGGAACAAACTCAAAATAGGAAAATAAAAGTGAACTCGATAATCAAACCTGCTTTCTTAGCTCGGCGCTGAAGAATTTCTTCCCAAACTCCGGGCCAACGACGTTTTCCGGCTTCACTAAAAGCTGCTTCAAATTCGGAAGTGAGTCCGGAATTGAGAAGAATGCATGGGAGATGACGACCTGCAAAGATGAACAGAAAAAGAGTTAGAGAGATACGAAAACAAAAATCAACAAAATATAGAGTCGGGATGTCAGAATTGCTGACTGTGAGATCGTTCATCTCGAGGAAGAAGTACTGGGATTCCGAGTCGTTATATTTACTGGGTTTAACCCCAGTGACGATGTTCTTTCTCGGATTGGCGTTCGCCTCGAAAAACCACTCCTTGGACTTATGGATGTTGACCGAGAAGAGATCTTCGAAGAGCCGACTAGTCGGAATCTCATCGAGCTCAGTACACAGCGTAACGAAGCCAACGTAGTTCGTTATCGATGCCGGCATCATCTGAGTAAGAGCTACGCCACGCCGATTGCAATATCCGAGCAGACGGGAAGGGATTGGGAGAGAGAGCCCGCATTGCGTGAAGTACGTTAAGTAAATGCAGAGCAAGCCTTCAGGAACGTCCCATGGCCGATCTCCAGCTTCAGGTATTATGAAGATGACCTTGTCCGAGAGCCCGTTTTCTTCGAGTACGGCCCGAACTGCACCCGGAGAAAGTGAAGAAGATGGCACGTCATGAGGACGAACGACTCTTCGCTTTGGAATTGGTGGTGATGCGTGATTCACCGCTTCAAGGTTGTCCTCGGCGGCTTCTACTTCAGTAGCGTTCCCCTCGGAGTTTGCTCCTTCAGATTCCGCAACCTCCTCGATCTCGTGATTAACGCCATCAGCGTTCGGCCCAGCTCGAGCTCCAGTTTCACGAGTCTCTGTTGCCAATTGTTCAGGCGCTTCAACTCGCGGTCGAGATCGGCTACTACTCGCACCAGCCGATCTAGAGTTTTTGCGAACCAACTGTGGAAGATTACTCTCTTTTTGGGAAGAACTCGATGAATGAGGATTCGAGGAAGAGGAGCTCGGTTCCGAAGATTCGCGGCAATCTTCTGGCAGAATTTGGTTAGAAGAAGAATTGATGGAAGAACTAGAAGACATCTTGAGCTCAGAAATGTAGAGTCGAAAGGAGATCTGAAGAGAATGAAGAACAGTTTGAAGATGGATCGGAAAAGATTGAAGATCGATCAGAGAACTTGAAGATTAATCGGGAAATTTGAAGATTGATCGGAAAATTCAAAAGAATGCGGCGACGGAGGTTGAAGAAACTAGAAAGAACTACAAATAAAAACTAGAGAGAGAAACGAAATCTAGAGAGAAGGGAGAGCAGCGTACCTTATATATGCTTGGGCGAGAATAATGAATGCGTTGGGGATTTATTCCTTTATAAACAGTGGGAATCGTGGTTCCTTGATTTTCACGAAATCCCGGAATTCACGCGCCTCATTGAAGACAGGTTGCGAAACGTACGGGAAAGCGAATCGCTTTCAGTTACCGAGCTCGGTTCGTGACCTACTTTTAAGTTTAGATCAAATGAGTTCGACTAAAAGCCGTACCCTTTCATCGAACTGAGGGGGGGGGGCTAACTGTTGGAGGTGAAAACCGTACCTCCGGTTTTCTCCGGTACAAACCGAGATCGGCACGACGTAAGTCCGGTTTACGAAGGAAAAGTACCGGGAATATTGGGCCGAGTGAGTTCTTGGGCCGAACGCAGCCCATCAAGCCGAAGTCGGTCAGAAACTTCTCAAAGGAACCGAGAAGTTCTCTGAGTTCGTAGGAAAAAAGAAAGTTTCCGAATAGAAAAAGGAAACCGACGAGAAGAAAGGATATTGTCATGAGAAAAGGAAAAGGACCGAGACAAAAGGAAAGTCTTCTCAGTCCCATATCGTAGAAGATGTGCATAATGACCGACTTGGAAGACATATATAAAGGAAGAGGAATCGACACCGGAAGACACAAGAAATTCCAGAGAAGACTTAGATACTGAGAACTCAATATTGTCTTAGTTTCATAAAGTCTTAGTTCATTATTAACCGAACTCAGTTGTATTCTTCGATCGATCTAATAAGACCCGAATTTATCGATCTAAATTACTGTTTTACCCCTTGTCGATATTCACTTATCAACAATTCACTAGGCAACAAAAGCCCCAAGCAGGACCTTTTACGGAATTTCTTTTTTAATTTGAGATATTATTCGGCTATTTTGAGACCTTATTTCCTGTTTTTGAACTATTTTTGTCTACTTATGTCTAATTTGTTTTTGAGACCTATTGATTTCATGCACCATTATTCTCTGATTTTATGTTTTAAAAGTACTAAGTAAGTAGACTAGTTGTCAATTAACGTAACTTTGAACTGAACAGATGTATTTGTCAATTTATTAGTATACTAGTAGACAATGAGTTCAGTTAAATTCAAATAGATGACTATGTAATATTCCTGATTTTTGTGATATAAATTACAAAATGTAGCCAACTATCATAACAACCCCAATTATCGAGTAGACGACGTTAATAAAATAAAAGTTATATATTGTTACAACACAAAGTTCCATAAGTGACCTTTGGAGTGGAGGAGGCTAGGCTACTCCGAGAATAGAAGTGAATCTTTTCTTTCTATACGAAATTCAAGATTCAGTTTGTCTTTTTCTCTAACTCACTTCCTTTTTTCTTTGTGAGTAATTCGTGGTCTAATTAGACAACATCTGGCTTCGAACATAGGGTCCACTATCGGCCGTTCCAGGCTCGGCTCCGATTCTTACATAGCTCAGCTCGGAGCAACGCGTCATCGGACGAAAGAACTGGGAATGGGCGCCTGGTTGCTTGCTTAGGTCATACTAGTAAGTTAAGGTTTATCAAAACGAAAATAATACAACATACGTACAAGTTTAAGTGGAAGCAGGCGGGTCGGTTGAAGCAGGCGGATCGGTTGAAGCAGGCGTATCGGTTGAAGTAGGAGGGTCGTCACCTTCCACCAAATTGTCGTCAATTACACGGTCGACCGATATGTTCTCTGTGTGCATCTGAAGTAGCATGAGTGTGACGCTCCGCTATGGCCTGAGATAAATCAAATTTGTAATTAACTAAAAATAAACGTATACAAGGTAACTGACTATAACAGATATAAATAGAATACCTGAACTTGGGGATTGAAAAATAGGCTTAGCAATGGAAAGGTTGAAGGCGTCAAGGGTGTCGTTCCACATCTCTTGATTGTACGCATCTTTCTTGATGAAGTATGGAAGTGATACAGAAAGGGGAACTAAGAGATTCTTAAGCTTCAACTCCTTAAACGCCTTGCTACAGCTAAGAACAACTATCTCATGTGCCTTCAAATCAATGCAAAGACCAACCCAATGCCTATTGTCAACCTGGTAGGGGCAGTAGACACGAGCGATAGCTGTGTACCAAGGCTGCCTGATTTTGACATATGCGGCCGCACCTTTGGGGAGCTTAATCTTGGTCTTCCTCGAGGTAGAAACAAATTAGGCATGCAGCTTCACAATTTCATTGATTAAACCGAACTCAACAAAGTTGTAGTTCATTAGATGAGCTCCTCTGGTTAACCACAGCTGATCACGGATACAGGCAATTATCGCATTCATGCCCTATTGCCAAATAATAAAGTAGTAGTCCATTATTATTTAAAATCTATGAAGTAGTATATTATTATCTATTGTTATAAATAAGTATATGACTATTCAAAGTCGACAAATATCCAATGAGTTACCAGGGTGCTAATAACTTCGTACGAGAGATTATTTAATTGACGATGTTCGGAGTCAGATTAACGCCGTAACGGGGGATAACTCTACGATAAATATATGAATCATTAACATTCAAATATAGTAAGCTATTCTACACACTTTAAAAAAAGATAGGAGTACATACCTCATTTCTTTAATTCTTGCTTCAAGGAGGGATACTAGTTCTTCGGTGGGTCTTGGGAAAAAAGAAGACAGGTCTACTGTTTTATTTGTCTTTTTCTTCTTGTTCTGAGGGTACACAAAGTCTTCAGATGTAGATGCTGGAACCCTTGGGCGGACGCTTTTACGTATTGGTGGAATGCTTTTAGAAGAATCAGCAATGTCTGAAACCCTTCTCACCTCCTCTTCTATTTGTCTAGATTCGGCAAGGTTCTTCTCTTCTTGAGTTAGCCCAAGGGAAAAAGATGGGGGATCGTCGATTACTGGGTACAATGATTCCTAAGTAATACCTTTATGGTTAAAAGGTAGTCGACTAGAAATTTCTCCATTAAATAAAGGGGAACTGTTTACAACACTAGTTAAAATATTCGACTACTGGTAAGCGAAAACATACCTTCTCACCTGGTACTTCTGTGACTGGATCTGGGCAGTTAACGTGATCATCGGGCACCTGAAATGAAGCAAAACAGTAAAGACATAGGCTACTACATATATGTAAGGGTAATGAAAAATTCAGATTTCGAAATAGTCCGCTGGTAATAGATATATACCCACCTGATCTCTAGCGGACTCGGAATCGGGATTTGGGAGGCCTGCATTAACCTCATTTGCCTGAACATAAAGTGTAAGGTAATGGAAATATTAAATTTTTAAATATTTAGCTACTAATAGGTAATTACATACTTGCTCGTTAGCCGATTCTGAATTTGGAAATGCAGTATCCTCACAGCCTACACAGAAACACTACATGAATGAAGTTATCTGATTATATAGTTATTGACTTTTAGTAGACGAATACAAACTGCAACTTTATCAGACTCGGGAATCGGAACTTGCAGGTCTGCATTTTCCACGGGTGCCTGAACATGACGAGAACACGAATTGAAAAAATGATTGACGATTTGTATACCTAAACTAATAGAAAATAGTTGGTTGCAGATAAGCAAGTACAAACCTGTACATTAGCTTCCACCAAAGTTGGATCTGCAGGAGGAATTGACGGAATGGGGAGATCTGTATTATCACACTCGATAAGGTCAGAGGTATTGATATCTTGAAGCACCTCATCTATCCTTTTTGAAGCCATGGTCGCGTCAACGAAAGTATCCCCTCCTATGTGTGGAACTTCATTACTAGCCAGCCCATCATTTCTATCTTTACCAGCATCGTCTTTCCCGGCATCCTCCATGGAAATGTCAGCGTTCTGCTTCTAGGTTCGATTAGGATTTCTAAGTTTCTAAACCATATTCTGGATCTCATCTCTTCTAAGTTGTTTATAATGCATGAAGGTAGATTCATGACCTATTCTCTGAGCCTAGGATCGATCAGAACCACGAGAGTGCTGTATCAGATTATCCATACCTAGCTTCAGAAGAACATAGTCTATACAGGAGTCAAAAGCTACTTGCAGAGAAGATGTGAGCATACGAATTCAGTAATAAATGCATGATCTTATTTCTGGCATGAGAGCGAGAGTTAATTGTCAGATTTAAGTGATTTGCTGGTTAAGATGATGAGAGTTGGTTAGTCATACACATACCTATTCTAGTTCCATGCAGATCCCAGAAATAGATAAGGATAAATCGCCGGAAGCTAATTGGAAATGCTTAGACATCGATTAGAGTAAACCAGAGAAATCTAAGTCGTCCACTATGAGTTTAGAATCCTTAGTTTGAGTCGACCACCCTTTAGATATTCTCTAGCAATTCATTTGCATTGCATTTAGTTTCCTGTAAATATTAGATTAGGATTAGTTTAGGTCTCGTAACCAAAAACCTCAAAACCCCCATGAGTTTATGATTTCACTTACAATCCCAGTTTGGTGTTTCCTTGCAGATTAGACATATTTCCTGTGTATCGACACCCTAAATCCTACAATGTACATCTGTGCACTTTCAAACATTAGGATTTTTATAAATTTAAAACTCCGGACCAACGGACTTGCAAAAGACCTGCGACCCCGAGGCTCATCAGACATCGTTTTCATCATCTGTTGCCTTTTGTGTAGAGGTTTCAACAGGTGCTGTTTGATTAGGAACATCACCAAGTTTTACTTTACCAATCTCGGTGCGTAAAAAGGTAAGCTCCGATATGGCCGTCTTCACATCACCCTGAAGGATCTTGAAATCAGATTTTAGTGACTTTATTGCTTTTATAATGGGGGAAATAGCAGTAACCACCTTTTCAAAAAATGCTGAAGCTGCAGAGTCAACTGGATCATCCCCATTGCAATACACTTTTAAGGATGTCGATGTTTGTGGCTTTGATAGCTTGCTATGTTCAGAGGCCTTCTGACCGCCCACCCAGGTCTTATGTGTGAATGTATCGCCATGTTCAATGGCACTCAACAAATTTTCAACCTTGGGGTCATCTACTTCATCTGGGTAGAACACCTCCTCCTCGTTGACGACATTGTCCTCATCGTCGAGAATGTGTTTGAAATCAATCTGAAAATAGTAGACAACTATTAATAGTGACATACTTCCTTCATCCTAATTAGTATACATGCTTTGTAGACAACTAAGTGACTACTAATAGTTTTTTACCTTATCGTCTTAGTCGAGCATCCTGACATAATTCATCTAGATTTGAATTGGCTTCTGTGCTCCCGGACGTAGTAGAGGAATCTCATCGTCCTCCTCTTCATCATCCGCTAAAATGTGTTTAACACCCTTTCCCTTAACATCATTTGTCAAGAAAGTGGGAGCACAAGCAGGAACAACCATCTGCAGAGCGTGTAAGAAGCCTTGAAACGCACAGGTGGTCTGACCCAGATTTGACAGAATACCACATCTACTTTTGATGCTTTCCATTGTGATGTCAAATGATTTACGACCCCAAGGATAAGAAAGGAATTCGTCCACGTCTTTAACCATCAAGATGTGATCAGCATTAATTTTTGTATTTTTTGAGGTGGGACAGACAATCCCGTCGACTAGAAGTAGACAAGCAAGCCTGAATCTAGTCTCTTTGTCCTTATAAGGGCAGCCCAAAAGGGTGATTGCTATCCAAACACAAGTGGTGTTTTTCTCAGCACCAAATAACTGTTTAGTGTATTTCTTGATTTCATCTTTGTCAGCCTCAGAGGACGAAGGTATAGTCGAATAATCCAGACCAGTAGCAATTGCAAACTCCCTAATCGAGAATCGAATTGGCTGCCCAGAGAGAAGATATCAAATCTCTTTCTTCTTCATGGTTACAAGTTGCCTAGACAGTAGAAAATGGGGAGCCTAACGGACGACGCGGTCTTGTTGCCAGCTTCAAAAAGTTTTCTTAATTGGGAATCCATAAGCTTCGCTATGTGTTTGTCTTATAGTGCAAAGCTAATTGCATCAAGGTAGTTGAGTTGAAAGTATGTATTTACTTTCTTGAGGTTCATAGCCGAACTTGAAGAACCTCTCTGGATATGGACTCATTGAGTTTCAACTGCAAAAAATATTAACAATACATAAGTATATGTCTAAATATGCATGCTTCTAATAATACCACAATACATGTTTGAACAAACAACCAATCAATAGGAATACTGATTTATTGTTAAAAATGTAGGGAACTATTAGTAGCCAGCTATTATATATATGGTAGATTCTTATCTGCTTATTTATGTATATACTCCGTAACAGCCCAACAAATCTGACACGAGGCCTGTGTAATAGATCGATAATAAAAAGTCGACTACTTTGGCGGCAATGACATGCAAAAAGAAAACGGAGAAGAAGGAACAATTGTCTTTTAAGAACTTTGAAATTGAAAATTGTATAACTAGAAAATGCCCAACTCGAAAAGGGGGAAACAATCGATGATGTGGTAAAACAATTCAAAAAAAAAAAAAAAATCAGTTAATGAATTAAGGAAGAGCAGAGATCGATTCCAAAGATGAAGTAATGTTTTTACCTAAAAGACAAACGGCAAAGGTGGAGAACTTTGAGCGGCGCGGGATAGATTTTGTTGGGGCAGGGTACAATTAGGGTTGGGCGGAATTTCTGAGATGATTTTTTTGAATAAAGGAAAACGTAAACGAATAAATATGACAAAGAAAGAGGAAGAGGCAGTTGTCTCTTCAAAGACAGTAATAGAGTGGAAATAAAAGAGTTGTAGGAATGTAATGATGGTTGAGATTTACAATTTCTTTTAAAACTAAAAATTTAGCGGTTTTCGATACGAAAAATCAGTTGTCACGCATGATAGAGAAACCGCTAAATTAATGTTCATCAAGCATGCTATAGGGGTATTTATAACTTTAAGTAACAGTTACCAATTAATTTCAAATTTGAATATGGAAGAAGAAACAAATAGTAATTGACTATTAATAGCAGATGTTATGGACTACAAATTTAAATATATAAATAGATGATATTCAAAAGTAGTTGCCTACAAGCATAATAGAAATTCGAAAATCAAAAACATAAAAAGTTAATTACCAACAAAATAACATAGTCAGCTACATATATTGATGTGGACATCGACTCTAAGACCTTATTGGAATTAATGCCATCAGTCTAAGACGGGGCTATGACATGCTCCAAGATTAAACAACTCAGGAATAGATACAAGAGGGCTTTACACATCTTTATCAACTCACTAGAACCAGACAACCCATTGTTGCCCGACCTGAATGTCATATATGGCTTAAACGAGCTTTGCGGCCAAACCGAGACCAAATACTTGGGAGCCAGGAATGACCCACCAGACGATCAAGTCTCTCAGGCCAAAATGGTAATCTCTCGACCAATTTTTGATTTAAATGCTAACAGTCCGAGCATAATTTCATTTTCAGGCTTAAAACTTGAAGAACTAAGGAATGACTCAAACTTTGGCCGAGACGCGAGAGATTTTAGCCGAGAAATCAGTACCACCTCGGCCAGACCAAGTTGGAGATGGAATTTATCGTACTGAACTTGACATCACTCGACCAAAATCACCAGCTGAATCCAACGCTCGAGACAGAAACAAGTTTGCCCGAACGGATAACGAGATTGCCGAGACCATGCAAGATTTAGCCGATAATTTAAAGACACCCGGGCTAGAACCACCAGACGACTTGGAAACCTCCACAAAGGTAAGATCTCTCGTCCAAGTCCATATTCTGAAGCTAACAAACGTGGAATCTTGCCCCACCAACGAGCAGATTTAGAGCTGCTTCACAACACACCACCCGGACCCGAGAAAGGCCAAGAAGACCAAGAAACTAGGACGGAGCATCAAAAAGCTTGAGGACTTGAAGACAAGGACTTAGCTACATTGGAGAAGCACTTAGAAGACTTTACAAGAAGGTTCCAAACCAGAGACGCCACAGCTTCAAGCTCGGCCACCACAGCAACACAAGCGGCCAACCGGAACCCTTCACACCAAGGTAAGCTTTTCAATTATTATATTGTCCTTGCAGGTGATCTCAGCCTCCACAACGGCTAAGTACTACATCAAAATGACGTCAGTAGTTTAGTTTAAAAGAGTCTTAAGCAAACTTTCCATTTTTGTATTAAATGAAACGATGAGTTTATGATTTCGTAAACTAGGTTTGTTTCTTGTTATTTTCTTTCAAAGTCCTGTCGTTTTGAGTATTTTCTTTTCTTCTTTGAGTCGAACCCTAGAAGGTTCAAGCTGACGGACTATTTATAAAGTCCCACACGCAGCTTTGTAGACACCAATATTTTTCCCGTTATCAATAAAAGAAAGAACTTTCTTCTAAGTTTCCGAGAAGCGGCTTCTCATCTTGTTCATTGTTTTTTTGTGAGATTCAAGCAAGCGTGAGCCCCTGCACTGTATCAGAGAGTAACCTCCCTTCTGTGTCGTGTATTCACTCCGCCAATACAACATCTGTTGATCCCACACGAGAGGGCGACCGCCTGCGTGTCAGATCCCGATCTATCGGTCATTTACTGAGCCAAAGAGAGGGCGACCGCCTGCTTTGACTCTCCGCCACCTTATTACCCGTGAGAACCCCCTGGTTCTTACATCATCTGGTATAAGAGCCGAAAGTTCTGCTTTCGGTTTGCTTACTCCTATCCTTTTTACTTATTTTGTGTTTCGGCATTCATACGTTGCTAGATCGGTTAGTTATTCTAAGAGAAAAGTTAAAAAAAAAAACTTAGCTTGAGTAATTGTTCCTTGTTTTGTTTCTTGTCGCCTAAAGAAAATCAAAAAAAAAATTTCTAAATCATTTTTTTCATATCATTTTGTATTGTTGCATTTTGTTTACATTAAAATAGAAAATTCAAAAACAATTAAGTTCAAATCTTAGTTATCTCTTGCGTTTGAGTTTCATTATACTTTTGGTACTTTGACGAGTTGTTGTTTTTGTGAGAATTACAAGAAACCATAGGAGATAACACCGAGAACGCTGCACCTGCTCACGCCAATGGACAACAACACAACGAGCTCATGGCCATGCTAGCCACCATGATAAAAGAACTGAGAGATACACGTGAACGTGTCGCGAGACTCGAACCACCAGCTCACCGAGCACTGAATCATGTATTGCCCCAAGCCTTAATGGCTCAGTTTGTGGACGGTCTCCAAGAGATAATAGCCCGAAAAGTGGTGAGAGTCAAGTATAGTGGCCTCCACGAATTATTGCATCTTTCAGTTCAGGTGGAACAACAAATCAAACGCAAAACCTCGCTAACAAACCAGAACCGAGGGAGCCAGCCGTGGCAAGCTAGTTCTAGTCGAACCATTGACAAGGGCAAGGCCGTGAAAGTTGATTCACGTCTCAAATCAAAAGCCACCGAGGCACCAAAGACCAATCGACCGGAACCAGGTAAGTTTCAAAACACTAGTCAAGCTAGAACACGCGATATAACCTATTTCAAGTGTCAGGGACGAGGGCACTATGCACGAGACTGTCCAAATCAACGGGTAATGATCATCACTCCGAGTGGAGGATATGAATCTCAAGACGAGCCCGAAGAAGAGCCAGAGGACAATGAAGAGGATGTGGAATATCCTGATACTGGTGAATATCTCTTAGTGACTAGAAGAGTCCTAAGTGTGCAAGTTCAGCCCGAGGAACGGATCCAACGAGAGAACTTGTTTCACACGCGATGCACCATTAACAACAAGGTATGTAATCTTGTTATTGATGGAGGTTCATGTACTAACGTGGCAAGCAAGTTTATGGTAGACAGGTTAGGGCTGGTGAAGATCAAGCACCCGAGGCCTTACAAACTACAGTGGCTTGACGATGCTACCGAGCTCAAAGTAACCAAACAAGTTACGAGTCCTTTTAGTGTGGGCAAGTACAAGGACGAGGTGCTTTGTGATGTTGTGCCGATGCAAGCCGGGCATCTTTTACTGGCAGGCCATGGCAGTTTGACAAGGCTACCTTGCACAATGGCCGCACCAATTTTTACAGCTTTACACATCTTAGCCGCAAATACAATCTAGCACCACTCAGCCCCACCGAGGTCCATGAGCTTCAAATCTGAATGCAACAAGAGGCTAAGTCTTCTAAATCAGCACTATATATATCTACTGGTGAATTAAACCGTGTTTGGAGTGCCAATGGCACTATGTTATTAATGCTTTTCAAAGAATGTCTTAGTGCAGGGTTAAAGGAACTTGAGCTTCCACCCGAGGTAGAGGCCTTAATCAAACGGTTCGAAGATGTGTTTCCCGAAGAGATCCCACCAGGGCTACCACCTCTACGAGGAATAGAACATCAGATAGACCTTGTTCCAGGCCAGCCGCTACCAAATAAGGCAGCTTACCGTATGAACCCGGAAGAAAGCAAAGAGCTTGAGAGCCAAGTGCGAGACTTGATGGACAAAGGCTATACGAGAAAGCCTCAGCCCCTGTGCCGTGCCTGTTCTACTAGTGCCCAAGAAAGATGGCACCTAGCGCATCTGTGTGGATTGCCAGGCCATAAACAACGTTACTATCAAGTATAGACACCCCATTCCGCGTTTATACGGCATGTTGGATGAACTTAGTGGCTCCACTATCTTCTCCAAAATGGATTTGAAGAGTGGGTATCATCAGGTCAGAATGCGTGAAGGAGATGAATGGAAAACGACTTTCAAGACCAAGCAAGGCTTGTACGAGTGGCTAGTCATGCCTTTTGGCTTAACTAATGCTCCAAGCACCTTCATGCGACTGATAAACAGGTTCTTCGAGAATATATAAGTAAATTTGTAGTAGTTTATTATGATGACATACTTATATATAGTAAAAACCTACGAGATCATCTCACACACCTTGAATTAGTACTCAAATCACTTCGCAAGGAAGGCCTTTATGCTAACCTCAAGAAGTGCTCATTCTGTACTAACCAACTCGTGTTTTTAGGATTTGTTGTGAGTGAACAGGGTTTACAGGTGGACAAAGAGAAGATCAAAGCCATACAGGAATGACCCACACCCTCCACCATCGGTCATGTACGAAGCTTTCATGGGTTGGCCAGTTTTTACCGGCGATTTGTGAAAGATTTTAGCACCGTGGCCGCACCCCTCTGTTGGGATTTATGAGACAAAGCTCAACAAATGGTGGAAGCATTCACTTAGTGAATGAAACCACTTAACCCACACAAAATAAACTCGATCTCAAGAGAGTAGAGAACATCAACTTGTGATGAAATCCACACAATAAACATGAGTAGAATCAAATCTATGAGGAAGAAAACGATTCTATAAAGGGAAAGCATCTAGTTTGAGACTAATCTAAGCAATGAACACAACACATAGAGAGTTTGTGTTCTTGAGATGCAAGACTCAGTAATCTAGATGAGAGAAGCAAATAAAGAAGAGTTTAGTGAGTGTTTATGAAGTGATAAGGCTGCCTTAAGGGCAGTCACTACAAACGATTTTCCCTAAGGACTCTACATTGCGAAATAGAATGAAGAACAAGATAAAAGAGAGAAATCACTTCATTGATTCTGTGTAACATTTACAAGCTCGGTTACATCTCTTTTTATAGAGAGAAAGGAAGAGAGGAAGCCCTAACACATGAGCCAAGACTGAGAGTGACATAAAGAGAGCGTTTTTGTCTTGTTAAGAGCTGAAAGTGACAGCTCATAAACGGTCACATGTGACTAAAGTCACATGTGAGAGCAGACTTGAATTTGAATTCGTTTCCCTCCTCTTCTTGTCACTTAGGGCCTTAGTCCTTGCATTCTTTAGGCTTTCTTGGCGTCCTCTTCTTCTTCTTATCTAATGGGCCTCGGCCTTACACAACCTTAGACTTGTACGGACACCTCTTGGAGTTGACTTGGCCGTACAGTTCTTCTTCTTCTTTAGGCCGAGGCTAGACTTGATCAATAGCTTCTTCAGCCTTGTCTTGTCTTCTTTTTATCTTCTTTGAGAGATCTTGGAGTTGTCTTCGGCCTTGTCTTGATGTCATTGGCCTTGACACTCCTCTTCTTCCTCTTCTTTGACTTGGAGATGATCGGCCTTGTCTTGTTGACTTCGGCCTCACCTCTCCTTTCCTTCTTTCACTCTAATACCCTCACGGCTGTCATCAAGAAGAACGTTCCATTTAAGTGGGGAGCAGCTCAAGACGAAGCGTTCCAAGCCTTGAAGGAAAAACTCACTCAAGCACCCGTTCTTACGTTACCGGACTTTGATGAGATGTTCGAAGTGGAATGCGATGCCTCCGGATTAGGGATCGGAGCTGTGCTGCATCAGAAGAAGAGACCGATGGCGTATTTCAGTGAGAAACTCCATTGGGCCACCCTCAATTACCCCACCTACGATAAGGAGTTGTATGCGCTGGTTAGAGCATTGGAGACGTGGCAACATTACTTGTTGTCCAAGGAGTTCATCATACACATTGACCACGAGACCTTGAAGCACTTGCGTGGCCAAACCTCACTTAAAAGAAGGCATGCTAAGTGGCTTGAGGTCATAGAGACTTTCCCCTATGTAATCAAGTACAAAAAAGGCAAGGAAAACGTGGTAGCTGATGCTTTATCAAGACGCCATACGCTTATAGCGACCATGGAGGCCAAAGTTTTGGGCTTCGAGCACATCAAAGCACTATACAAAGAGGATCCTGAGCTTGGTGAAACATATAACGATTGCTGAAAAGGCCCCACAGGTTCTTTCTATATACACAATGGGTTTTTTTTTAAAGATAAACGCTTGTGTATTCCGCAGGGATCAATGAGGGAACTAGTGTTTAGTGAAGCCCACGGTGGAGGATTAATGGGACACTTTGGGGTGGATAAAACTCTGGCTGTCATGATGGACCATTTCTATTGGCCACACATGAAAAATGACGTGGAACGGTTCTGTTCAGGATGTATCCAGTGCCACAAAGCCAAATCCAGGTGACACCCTCCCGGTATATATATGTCTCTGCCTATACCTAACGCCCATTGGGTAGATATTTCGATGGATTTTGTCTTAGGTTTGCCCAAGATCAGACACAAGGATTCCATCTTTGTTGTTGTTGACCGGTTCTCTAAGATGGCCCACTTTATACCGTGTGAAAAGACAAACGACGCCACACAAATAGCCAATTTGTTCTTCAAAGAGGTCGTACGTCTACATGGGATCCCGAAAACAATCATTTCGGACCGAGACACCAAGTTTCTCAGTCATTTTTGGCGTACCTTGTGGAAAAAGTTAGGCACCAAGCTCCTTTTCTCCACAACTTACCACCCACAGACCGATGGTCAAACAGAAGTGGTAAACCGAACCTTATCCACATTACTTAGAGCAGCACTTGGTAAAAATATGAGTACATGGCTCGATTGTATTCCTTTTGTAGAATTTGCTTATAACCGTGTAAGACACTCGACTACAAAGATATCTCCATTTGAGATAGTTTATGGTACTAACCCCCTTTCTCCAGTGGATCTTAGACCTATAGCACATGTAGACCAAGCCAATCTAGATGGATTGAGACGAGGAGAGCTATTCAAAAAGCTGTATGAGACGGCGAAGACCAACATAGAAAAGAAGATCGAGGTCTACAAGAAGGCCGCAGACAAAGGCCGAAAAGACGTCTCATTTGAGCCAGAAGATTGGGTCTGTTTACACATGTGGACAGAAAGGTTCATTGGTCAGTGTGCATCCAAACTCTCACCGCGAGGCGACGACCCATTCAAAGTATTGAGCAAGATCAACGACAATGCTTACCGTTTGGATCTTCCAGGTTAGTATAACATTTCACACACTTTCAACGTGGCTGACTTATCTTATTTTGATGCAGGTGAAGAAGTTTTGGGGGCAAAACCTTTAGAAGAGGGAGGGAATGATGTGGACATCGACCCTAAGACCTTACCGGAGTTAATGCCATCAGTCCAAGACGGGGCCATGACACGCTCCAAGCTGACGGTTTTACACATCTTTATCAACTCGCTAGAACCAGACAACCCATTGTTGCCTGACCTGATTGTCATATATGGCTTAAACGAGCTTTGCGGCCAAACCGAGACCGAATACTTGGGAGCCAGGAATGACCCACCAGACGATCAAGTCTCTCAGGCCAAAATGGTTATCTCTCGACCAATTTTTGATTTAAATGCTAACAGTCCGAGCATAATTTCATTTTCAGGCTTAAAACTTGAAGAACTAAGGGATGACTCAAAATTAGGCGATACGCGAGAAACTTTGGCCGAGACGCGAGAGATTTAGCCGAGAAATCAGTACCACCTCGGCCAGAGCAAGTTGGCGATGGAATTTATCGTACTGAACTTGACATCACTTGACCAAAATCACCAGCTGAATCCAACGCTCGAGACAGAAACAAGTTTGCCCGAACAGATAACGAGATTGTCGAGACCATGCAAGATTTAGCCGATAATTTAAAGACACTCGGGCTAGAACCACCAGACGACTTGGAAACCTCCAACAAAGGTAAGATCTCTCGTCCAAGTCCATATTCTGAAGCTAACAAACGTGAAATCTTGCCCCACCAACGAGCAGATTTAGAGCTGCTTCAAAACACACCACCCGGACCCGAGAAAGGCCAAGAAGACCAAGAAACTAGGACGGAGCATCAAAAAGCTTGGGGACTTGAAGACAAGGACTTAGCTACATTGGAGAAGCACTTAGAACGCTTTACAAGAAGGTTCCAAGCCAGAGACGCCACAGCTTCAAGCTCGGCCACCACAGCCACATAAGCGGCCAACTGAAACCTTTCACACCAAGGTAAGCTTTTCAATTATTATATTGTCCTTGCAGGTGATCTCAGCCTCCTAGTTTAGTTTAAAAGAGTCTTAAGCAAACTTTCCATTTTTGTATTAAATGAAACGATGAGTTTATGATTTCGTAGACTAGGTTTGTTTATTGTTATTTTCTTTCAAAGTCCTGTCGTTTTAAGTCTTTTCTTTTCTTCTTTGAGTCGAACACTAGAAGGTTCAAGCTGACGGACTATTTATAAAGTCCCACACGCAGCTCTGTAGACATCAACCTTTTTCCCATTATCAATAAAAGAATGAACTTTCTTCTAAGTTTCCGAGAAGCGGCTTCTCATCTTGTTCATTGCTTTCTTGTGAGATTCAAGCAAGCGTGAGCCCCTGCACCGTATCAGAGAGTAACCTCCCCTCTGTGTCTATTCACTCCGCCAACACACCATCTCTTGATCTCACACGAGAGGGCGACCGCCTGCGTGTCAAATCCCCATCTATCGATCATTCACTGAGCCAAAGAGAGGGTGACCGCCTGCTTTGACTCTCCGCCACCTTGTTACCCGTGAGAACCCCCTGGTTCTTACATCATATATGTAGTCCATTACAACAGTAGCCACCTACACTTCTAGAATATTCTTTGCAGTTTAGTACTGCATGAATAGGTAGCAAAGTTAACAGCACTTCAAATGGTGTTGAAAATGACATTCTAGAAAATCAGTCAAGACCGAAGGCAAAAATGCAAAGCCATGATTCACCATTTTCATCATTGTATCCATAACATCTTCCCCCAACTGGATCATGTAACACATGCATGATTTCCAACCAACTATACAGTCTAAGAGCTACAGTCCCCTTGGATAATGACCATATGCGGTGGCACAGATTGCAAACATTAATGTCACCGTATCAATTCCCGCCTTAAACGCCCGATTAAAATCACTCAGGGAATCGTTGATATCAACATCAACAACCGATCTGGTCATACCGCGAATGTACAATACGTATAGATTACCAGATTTGACTGCTGACTGAAAAAATTCAGGAGAACGAGATATTAAACAGAGGTGTTTAACAAATTCAGAGAGGTTAAGTGATAACACCGTATTTTTACCCATTTTCACAATTGATTTCAAATGCTTTTTCAAAGGTTTTAATCAGATTTAAGAACTATTATTATGATTTCTTTATGTTTGTAGTTTCAAGGCTTTTTTCAGGAAACTTATAGATGGCAAAATGAAAGAAATCCATATTTTTAGCTCAGTGTCAGACTGTCCGAAATCCAGCCTCAAATGGAGACCTTCTCAACATCTGATCCAGCTCAAATTTGGAGACATTCAAGAGGAGACAA